TATTGAATGATTATTTCTGGGTGTCAAAATGCATGGTACAGCAAAAGAGATGAAGGGATGCCACTAAACTACATGAAAAACAAATAAATTAAATGGAAACAAGTGGAAATTTTCCACAGCATAATTTGGACATGTGGTGCATTAACAGAGGATTAAAAAAAAAAAGACTACATTGAGTTCCTAAGTTGATCCTTTTTGAGATTTGATTATTGTGAACAAATGTTATTCTAAAATGAATTCTATAATGTCAGTAATCCTAAAAGCCTTATTTAAGCAAATATAAAAAAGAGAAAAAAACTCTTCTGCCTGCATTACAAATTGATGATAAACTAAGCACCTTCTCAAAATCAAATCATGCATGCTTTATGTTTCATTCCTTCCACATAATAATCAGCCCCACTATGCTAATAGCATTACACTGAGAAATACATCACCATCCATCAGCCAGATGGAAGAGAGCTACCTATCTCTACATCAAAGTACCATTTATCCCACCTGCTTAACCAAGACTCCCTCCTATCTGAATCTTAGCTATATCCTCTTGTATGATTCACTCCCTTCCTGAAAACATAAATTATTATTAACGGTTTCAGAAATAAAATTGCATCATCATTAATAAGATGAAGAACAATTAAGTCCATTGGACAGGAAAACCAAGTTCCAAAGACAATAAGATATAGAGATAATACTCAACTTAATCTAATAGGGTTTTACAAAATGGCAAAAAATGTTTTTTTTTAATCATATCCAGTGTAAAAGGCTTTGCGTTGAATGTTCTGTTTATGAGTCACAAAATTCAAAACAGAAGGAAAAAAGAACACAGACATTAAGTTATTAAAATATGCAATAACCTCCCAGACCACAAATGTTTTCAGTAATAGTACTAACAGGAGCTCACTAAATATTGGCTGAAAAAATTGCTTTGAGTTAGGAAAGATCATTGCCTATATCAGGCTATGGAATTGGCATGTCTGCCTGAAAAATAACAAAGAACATACGAAGATATTATTAATGAGGGAACATGGAAGGAGGAGACTGAAATAAGAACAGAACCATATGGAGAGAAGAAGAGACTGGGAAATGCCACATGGCAGTAGGAAAAGAACAGGAAGAGAGAAAGAAGAGGAATGAGGAGTATACATATAGGTTTAATGGGGGGGGGGGATGCGCGCGCGCTCCGCGTGTGCAGGGGGGAAAGTAAAGAGAAAAAAGGAAAACAACACACAACTTCAGAGAGAACACTTAAGAAAATTTTAAATTCACTGGTCTTACTTTCCTACTAAGTAAATAATCTTCTTAGATCTTTGATGAAAACATAGTCCATTCAATTCAATTTCTTAAGTAAACACAATTGACTGAGATTCTGAGTAATGTTTCTCTTTCTTCACCTGCTTCTAATACAGGGGCATCAGCAAAACACAGAGAAGGAAGCAGTGTTGGCTAAAATCCCAAAGAGCAAAAACTTAAATTGTTTTTCATTTATTCTGAAGATCTTTCTGCTGACAATTTATTGACAATGCATACATGAGAAATAATTGAATTGCTGCATTCTTTATGGCTGTCTGTGATAGATAATGTTAATGTTATTTTCTCCCATTGTCTCTCTCTCTCTCTCTCAACCTCTCTTTATCTTGAATCTATTTTGCCTCTCTGTCAGGGAGAAATCACAATGTCCAAAGCCAACTGTTATTAAAGTTTTGTTTTAACTTTAGGCTGGGAAATAAATTAACTCCAAGTGTCTGAAGAGCAGGATATGAAGGTGACAATGGCCAAGTTTTAAGCATGTCAAGAGATTGGAAATGATTGATCGCCTACAAACGTCTTTCTACTCTCCAGGAAAGGGCTTCTCAATAGAAAGAAAAAAAAAAGACTAAAGAGAAAACAACTCAAGTGAATTGGAGAAGAAACAGGAAGGAATGGAATGAGCAGTGGACTTGGAGTCTGGGAAGACTTTTTTTTTTCTGACCTATTTCTGACAGGGTTTTACTAGTTATATGTCTGCAGGGAAGGCACTAAAAGTCTCAGAGTCCCAATTTCCTTATGTATAAAGTGGGGATAATCATACTTATAAGCATCTCCCTCACACCATTATTGTTGGGAGCATCAAATGACATTTGTAAAGTACTTTGCTGATCTTAAAGTGCTAAAAAACTGACACTTGCTCCTAAAACCTGATACCCTTGGAAAATGGACCGGAAGCAGAAAATCTAGTCCACAGTTTGCTACATATCCTTAGAGGTAACTGCAGCAGTGTGTTCTTACTGACTGTTAAGTGGCTTGCTCTTCATCTCTCATCATCAGTGTAACTAGATATAAAAAGAAAGTAGTGGTTATGGCATTCTATTTCCCACGTCTGGAATACTCTCCCTTCTCCATTCCAACTACTGACCTCCCTGACTTCCTTTAAGTCCCAACTAAAATCCCATCTTCCAGAGGAAGCCTTCCCAACCCCTCTTTTTTGCAGGGCCTTCCCTATGTCAATCATTTCCTATTTTCCTGGAGATAGCTTGCTTTTAATGTTTTTGTTTGCACGTTGTTCCCCCACTGCATTGTAAGCTCTTTGAAAACAGAAACTGTCTTTTGCCTCTGTGTATCCCTAGCACTTAGCACAATGTCTGGCACATTTCTTGTTTAGGCATTTTCAGTTGTGTCCGACTCTTTATGACCTGTTTTGGAGTTTTCTTGGCAAAGATACTGGAGTGGTTTGACACTTCTTTCTCCACCTTATGTTACAGATGAGGAACTGAGGCAAACAGGGTTAAGTGACTTGCAGAGGGTCACACAGCTAGGATCTGAGGCCGGATTTGAACTCATAAGATGAGTCTTCCTGACTTCAGACCCAGTACTCTATCCATCACGTCCTCTAGGTGCCCCATCTGACACATAGTTGGCACTTAATAATTATTGATGGATTTATTGATTGATTGGTGAGAAGCTTTTATGAATTTAATAAAGCTGGTACCCAGACAATGAATGTGTGTGTGAGTGTGTGTGTGTGTGTGTGTGTGTGTGTGTGTGTTTATGGAAAAAAAGAGACTAGGAGAGGAAAAAAGTGAAGAGCAGAGAAGACAGAGAAGGTTCAAAATACTGGCCAACAAGTTAACGACTGAAATTTATTTGAAATCAGGTAGAGTTTCATTATAATCTCATGTTATGTTATGTTCTCTAGTTTTTTAAGTATCTGTTACTTCTCTATATCTTCTTCTATGGATATTCTTCTACATCTACTCTCCCCAACAATACAACAGACTTTGATCACTGACAGAATTTTGAAATTTATAAAACTCTTCCTTTGTGACAATATTGTGAAGGAGACAATACAAATATTATTATCCCTATTTTACAGATAGGGAAACATCTGTAAAAGCATGCATAGGAAAATTTGCTCATACATTTAATAATTGTCAAAGCCAGAATCTGAGCCCAGCTAGGATTTAATTTTAAGTGTTCTTTCTACTATGCCAAACAGTATTCCTGTGTTCCTATCCTTTATTTCATTAACACCCTTTCCAACCCTGCATCTTGTATTTTAACAAGCAATTTTTAAAAAATCACTGTTATCTCCATGAGAATATGGATATTGTTGGCATAACATGGTTCTGTGGTTTAACAATTGGATATTTAACTCTTTTTATTCTTTAGTCAAAGGCTATAACAACCTACTTCCTGAAAGGAAATATGCCAAAATTTCATCAGACTTAGAAAAATAAATAAATGTGCCATGCTTTGCTGAATAAATATTAACCATGGCATATGAATATTAACTCAAGCCAATTTGTTACTTTCTTCTTCATCATGATCAACATTATCTGCTCACCCTAATCTTTTCAAATGAATAATGTTCAGATAAAAGCAGTCTGAGGACATTACTATTATTATTAAGATTACAAAAAAATTATTCTCAATTTATTTGTTGGCATTCAGACAGAAACAGACTTCAGACAAGTCACTCAGCTGTTAGTATCAATTCATATTTAATGTTCAGTTGACTCTTACAGAGATTTGAATAAAATAACTGCTTTTTTTTGTGGTTGGATAAAAGTATTAGGATGTGAGTTTATCTCCTTTGAGTTCATGAAAAAGTATACTTGGAACAATTCCAGTAGCAGAAAGGAAAACAAGAATGATATATACCTCATCCTGTTCCCACATGATTTGATTTCACCTGCTACGTCCTTATAATTTGAAAACTTTTTGTTCCACAACACTTGGAGATGAGTATTTAATATGGTGACCTCTACTAAAAACATTTCTGAAATTTTGTTAGCTTAATGTTATGTCTAAGTGATTGTAAGCAAGGTCTGACTTATTATCACCATATATTTTTCGGTTTTGTCCACACCTGTGACTATATTGGTACACAGAGTTCTAAGAGCAATTCCTTTTTACTGCTGCAAATACATAACTGTTCAGCAGCTTATATTCTTAGAGAGTTGCCAGAGGCACTGAGAATGTAAGGGATTTGTCCAGGGTCACACGGATTGAATCCTACTCTTCCTGACTCTTTGGCCAGCTACCTACTCTGCCACATTTCTTTGGTGTGAGCTCTATTAAGGTATATCAACCACCACAAATGGTAACACTTGTCTGCCACCATTCAACCTCTTTTCCACCAAAGCCTTGTATTTTGAAATAGAATACTTTATTTGCTAATTGTGTATGTGGTCTTGAAGAGGCAAAAAGGTTTGTCAAATTGTCCTAAAATTCAATTTACATTTATTAAAATCTGGGAGAGGGAGAAGAAGATGGAGGGAGAAAGATGGAGAGAGGAAGAGAAGGACAGGGGGAGAGGAAGGGAAAATAAATCATGGGAATTATTCTAAGCCTTTTACTTTATAGTAAAAAAAAAAACAGGCAAGCAATTATTAAACCTGTCTCTCTAGTTTCTTCCTTTACATCTGAGACAATTTAAAGATGGTTCCCAGGGAGCCCTGAAGATTTTATTTCAACTAGACATAAAAGGAAGTGGGGGTCAGGCTAGGATGGGGGAACAAACTCACACTTTGTCTGTCCCATAACTCCGGTAGTCTACAGCTGCTGACACAGCGACGATGAGTGCTGGCATCCCGTAGCCAACCAAATAGAAGTATTTTCTGCGTGAATGTTCACTCTCAAAAACCTCCACCAACATGATATAAAGCTGTACTCCTTCCAGGAACATCCAAGTGAAGGCAGCCAAGAAGAAGAAATGTAAGAGGGCAGCAAAGACTGCACAGGCAATCTGAGGAAGAAATGAGATAATACAGTGATCAGGAGAAACATGTATGTACATATCACATACAACATATACAATATGGCATATACAATATATAAAATATATACTGACATATCTATAACACATTTGTTCATATGCATATATATATATATAAAGATGCAAGCTCTCATACAAACATACACACACACACACACACACACACACATATATATGTCAATTAAAGGAGGGCTGAGGAAGTCTGGGTAAGGCTTTAAAATATAGGTATTGAAAATGAACTTTAAATAACTGACCCATTCTCAATGCATTTAGTACAAAATATTTTTGACTTATAGTTTTACAAATGAAAGTAAGTTTTGCAAAAACATTATAGCAAGAGAGAAAAAAGGGAACATCTGTGTTCTGATTTCTGAAACCTGCTGCCCATCAACAAAGACAAAGACTAGAATGAAACATCTGTGCCCCTGCTACTGCTAAATATTTAAAATATTTAGGATATTCTAATGAAACCCCTGGAAGAGGGAGGGTACCAGACATCAAACCTAAGGACGTTTGTAGGACTAGAAGATGGGGCCAGGGAAGGTGTGAATATTCATTAAGTCTAAGATAAATCCATTATTCCACATCTGCAGAAGAACTGATAGCTAAGGAATCAAGAACAAGTGTTTGATTGAAGTTCTAACAAGAGACACAAGCCATGAAATGATTAGAGAGAATGAGCTGGTGACTGGGGCTTGGAAGGGCATGTCAAGCTGAGACAGCTCAGAAGATATTAGCACATGGCCATTATGGTGACTCTAGTCCCAACTCTAGGGATCAGTTAGAACAAGAAGTTAAAAGCTGTTTCATTTAGGAAGTGGCTTTTGATGACCAGTAAGTATACTGTAGGCTGTTGCCTTGGAGATAGATATGGGTCAGCAGTGAGAAGAAAGGTTCTACAATGGAAGTTTTAGGAGGTATTCAAATCCAGCCTCAGACACTTTTTAGCTGTATGACCCCGGGCAAAACACTTTTACCTCTGCCTCAGTTTCCACATCTTTAAAATGAGGATAATAATAGCACCTACCTCCCAGGGTTGTTTGAGAATAAAATTTTGAGATAAAGTTTGCAAAGTCATTTTCAAGCCTCTAAGTGTCATATAAATGATGATGATGATGATATGTAGCTGTTGTGGCAAGGTTAGTACAGGCTGACCAGAGTCCAGGGGAGGTCTTAGAACCCAGCCTGGCAAAATCATCCTCTACCAGGTTCCCCAGACAAGGTCTAACCTGGAATTAGGAACCTCAGGTGTAGACAAAATGAGTGCAGCTGTGACATTTGTACCCTTTCTCCTTGGGGGTTTCTTATTTTAATAGGTAATAACAATACTTTAGGATACTATTTGCCATAGTCAGATAATTATAGCAGGCACTAATAGTAGGTGATTTATTCAGGTTATGAAATGACAAATTCAGAGGGGAAATTAAAATGAGTAATATATAGTTACAATTCATACAGTCTTCCAGGGGTTACTGGGATTATGTTTATAAAGGCATTTATGTCTACTTGTGAATATAAAAGGCCCCTAAGGCTCTTTTACCTTTGATTTTCATGATATTATTATGCCCAGTACTAATCCAAGCTTATCTACTAAAATGCAAATACTTTATCTAAAAGGGATAGCACATTTTATTAAAAGTCATTATCACGTTAGCATGGATTTTTTTCTTCAGTTCCCTCTCCTATATTAATGTCCTGGGTGGGGGGAGGGGGAGAAGGACTAAGTATGTAAATGCTGAAGGGAACTGGCAGGGAAAGAAAATAAAATTCCAGAGCTTGAGGGTAAAATAGGAAGGGTAGGTTCTATTTAGCAAAAGGCAGAATAGAAGAATCATAGGTGGTAAACAAAGACAAACTCTATCTCTGGCCAGACCCTATTATGTCACCCCAATTTTTCATGATACTCAAATTTGTTGATAGTGGATTTTCAACAATCAGCCATTTGTTAATATTCAGGTGAAGATGGGATCTGCCATATTGGGTTACTATGTGTAAGCTCAGCAAATATAAAATTCAAAGGAAATCATACAGCATTTTAAACACATGTTAATAAGAGAGTGCAATAATAAGTTCTGGGAGAAAGAACACAATTTTCCATTTCTTGCTTTTTATACTTAAAATCTCAACTATCAGTTTTTTGTTATCAAAAACAGAATACTCTGCATTGTGGGGATCAGGAGGAGGAGAGCTGCATTTCAGAACTTCTAAAAGCAAACTTATTTTGATTGCTTATTCATATGTATACATTTTCCTGGGGAAAGCTGTCTCATTTATATGGGATAGTCAATTAAAAGTATAATGACTATAATTATATGTATTCCCATCATTAATCATGAATGTGTAATCACAGAATGAATACAACACATTTAACTGTAAAATATTCCATACACATGGACATACATACTAGAGAACAGTATTAAGTTAATCCATTATTTTTAAGGCTCCTAATATTATGGTGTTTTTTTTTAAATCTTTCTCCCTCTCACATTCCCTTTAGAAGCTCTTGTATGTATGAGAGCAAACATGTACTGAATCTTAAAATATCAGTAAAGGTCTAATGGAAATAAGATGATTGGTCAAATCCACTTAGACTGTTTTGCCCTCCTTTTGTATTCTCTATTCCTTGAGTTTTCCTGAAAAGTCTAGGGTCTACTCTTTCTGTTTTCTTAGTCAACTAAAGTGAATGGAACTGAGGTCATTCAATCTCAGTAAGCAACAGGCAGAAAGCAGGCAAATCCAGTAACTGCTATTCCGAGTGTCTTACTGGTTGGTCAGTTCGATTGATGCCAATCAAAAAGAGCAGCTCAGCTACAAAGAGGCTGATACAGAGATTTTTATGGATGGTGTTACGGTCACTCTGAAGGCCACGGAAAAAGCAGAAGGTGAAGATGCAGATCAGGAGGCAAACAAGGGACAGGAGAATTCCAACCCATGTAATCACATCCAGAAGAAGGTCATGGACTGCATCACTATGCTGCAAACATAATGGAGAAAAGGTCAGTTAGTCACTTGTATATGATTTTAGCTATCTACCCGTATAGGATACTAGTTTAATTTTACTCAGTTCATTAATTAAGTTTCCCACAAAGAACCCCTAATAAGTAATACCTTATTATCTGAGTTTTCTACTCACACAACTCAACATACATTTGTTCTTTATCTTTTTTTTTTTGGCTTTTCATTTTTGTGGAGTTAAATTGGGAAAGTCCATGTTTAACTCAGAATCAGAATGACAAAATCTAAGAGCTGGAAGAAATCTTTTGGTCATCTAATCCTACTTTTGGACAGCTGCAATTCTTAGAATTTTCCTTAAATTTGTCTCCTTGAATACCCATTGTCTCTAGGTCTGCTTTCAGAGACCAAACAGAACAAATCTTTTTTTCCTCTTTCATATAACATCCATAACATCGATACTTGAAAAACACATCATTTCTTACCTCCAAAATTTCCTCTTCTCCAGGCTAAATACCCTCAATTCCTTCAACTAGCCCTCACATAATCTAATCTTAAGGTCTTTCACTATGTTGGCCACTTTCCTCTAGACACTCTCCAGATTATAAATCTTCTTTCTAAAATATCCTAGACACTAAGATTCTCTTAATACTGCCAAAAAACTCATTAGCTTTCTTGGCTGACTATACTATTGACACATGCTGAAGTTCAGTCCATTAAAAGCCTTGAGATATTTTACAAATGGGCTTGTCTAAATCTTTCTTAATACTTGTGAAGTTAACTTTTTGACCCTTTTCAACTGTAAAAGTGTGAAAAGACCCTGCTTTCGAAAAGCTCAAAGTCTGATGGGGGAGACAACATGCAAACACCTTTGCACAATATCCAGGATGAATTGAAACTAAAGGAAAGAACTAGAACTAAGAATTAGGGAAGTCTTCCTACAGACTGTAGGTTTTAACTGGGACTTGAAGGAAGCCAGGGGTACAGAGATGAGAAGAGAAAGCATTGCAGGCATGGAGGACAGCTAGTAAAAATGCTTGGAGTTTGGGGGGATGGAGTGTCTTGTTTAAAGAAGAGCAAAAAATCGGTGTTATTGGATGAGGGGGGAGGGTTTAAGGTGTAAGAACACTGGAAAGTAGGAGGGGACAGGTTATAAGGGTTTTTGAATATCAAATAGAGGATTTTATATTTGATTGTGGAGGTGATAGGGAACCTCTGGACTATACTGAGTAGGGCAGTGACATTGTTAGACCTATGGTTTAGGAAGATTACTTTGACAGCTGAGCAGAGGATGGACTGGAGTGGGAAAAGGCCTGTAGGAGACCAGTCAATAAGTTATTGCAATAGTCCCCAGACAAGAGGTGATGAAGGCCTACATTAGGATGGCAGCAATGCCAGAAGAGAGAAGAGGTTGCATGTGAGAGTTGTTACAAAGGCAACGTGGGGAAGCCGTGGCAACAGATTGGTGTGGGAGATGAGAAGGGTCAAAGAGTCAAGAATGACACCTAGGTTGTGAACCTGGATTACTCTAAGGATGTTGGTGCCTCAACAGTAATAGGCAGGTTAGGTATAGTGGAGGATTTGGCAAGAAACATAATAAAATCAGTTTTAGATGTGTTGAGTATAAGATGTCTTAAAAATACATAGAAGAGATGTTGGAAAAGTAAAAAAAGAAAATGTGACAACAGATTGGATGTGACCTGAGTGAGACTGAGAAAATGAGGATGACACTGAGTTTGTAAGCCTGGTTGACTAGGAAGATGGCGGTGCATTCTAATTCCCTAGGGAAGTTTTTACAGAGTAGCTAAGTTTCCTTTCCTTTTTTTTCATTTTGATTCAAATTTTAAAACATTAAAAAAAATTAACTTGAGTGTTCAGAGCATTTCTTAAGGATGATTGCATATTTCCTATCAAATGAGTTTCTTTCACAGTGATCTGAACCCCAGCACGCCTGGATCATTCAGGTGCAAATGCACATCCCCTCTTGCACAAAGATCACGGTTGTAGTTCTGTCAACTAAATCTGTTGAAATTTCCTCTTCATATGCCTAGATTTACTTCTCATGAGAAATTTAAGTTATGAAATGAAATCTCATGGGAATTTAAGTGCATCTGCACTGTTTTATTCTTCAGGGGTCACCTATAAAGTGTTATTGAAAGCTTAAATTCTTATTATTTGAGTGTCTGGAGTCTGGTTAGTGCTTAACCTGCTACATAATGTCAGCTGGTCCACTGAACAGAGCAATTTGCTCATACCTTCGACTCAAAGGAGAGATGCTGTGATAGAAACTGAAGTATCGAAATTCAACACAGCAGTTTTCCATAATGGGAAAAGAGCCATGTATAATGCTTATGAAAATGTGGTCTAGCGATCTAACAAAAAAAAAAAAGGAATAAAAGCTTTACATCTCCATGCCTTTGTCTAGTTGCATTATTACAGAAGTATTTACTTTGTTCACTGCCTTCCTATAGTTTTGTGAAACATCATGCAGAGGTACAAACAAATGACTACCAGTTTTTTTAAAAAGTCAGTGGAAAGAGAACATGGCCACATTGCTGACAGGGAGAAAGGTCTCCAAAGACAGAAGAAGAAAACCTAAGGATTAGTTTATATTTGGAGGTTGCCTTGTCTGACTATCATAAAGCCTTATCAGTATCAAGGGTTTCTAATGTGAGACTCTCTTAAGCCCATCAAATACAACTTAGTGTCTCATTGTGCTTTATCCGCATATCGTGTGTGGAAAGAGTGATATCAATATCAAATGTCCAGGAAAGATGGTGATGACTATAGTTTTGAATATTCTGTTGAAACCCAGAGAATACTATATGCCATATACTCAGAGTGGATACAAAATAACTAATGAAGAAAATCTCTTGTTTTGAAATGAAAATAATAAAATCATCCATTCTGAAGTCATTAGGGTTTCTTTATTTTGAACAGTGAGAATTCAGCACATTGGATACTTAATCATTCTAAGTAAATACATAATAGCCAAAATCTACTTCCAAGACAGTATTAGCTTATTTGTATAATGTTATATTAAAAAACAAAACAAAACAACCCTGCAATCTTTCTTTATGCCTAGTTACTTATGTGGATATTTCATCTAGCTCGCTCACAATTTCCCACTCATTCTCCTCTTTGTTTTGCTCAATTTTTGGCTGAGGGTCTTAATCTCTTCCATCACCACTTAGTGCTCCACATGTCTTTAGACATCTTTAATACATAATTCCTCTCCGAGTGTCCCAACCACTTCAGATGATACAATGTTGGTAGGCTACTAGTTTTACCATTCTTATCATTTCTTGACTCTTGGACTATTCACCCAAGTAAGTTTAGGGAAAAAAAAAAGTGAAAATGAACAAGGAACTGGGAATAGGATTATACAGACATAAGAAAATTTGACCTTCCTTTGAAATACTGGCTTATAAAGTAATAACACAAATTTATTATGGCAAGACAAACAAGTTCATATCTAAGCAATACTGGGAGAATGTTCTTAGTTTTTAAAACAGTTTCATTTTCTTAAGGAAGTATTTTTTATGCATAAACTATAAATAGGGATTTTTTTAATAGAGCCAATTTGATAAAAATAGAAATAATAATAACTTTGAATCATGTTTTCTCTTTTGCCAAAGACCTCCACTGATTTTCCAGAAAATTAATGTAATTATATAATTTTGCTTCAGAAGAATTGGTTTTGTTATTTTTATCATCCTTCATTTCATAGTTAGGAAATTAGTCACATTAGATTTGAAACCAGGTTAGGTATTGAGTTCTGAATCTACAAATCAACTGCCATGTAAAAATAAGATAGGGGATGAATATAGGTGCCATATAGAGATAAGATACTGTTGTTGCTGCTGCTTTTTGAATTATTAATCTATGGGAGAGTTGGGAGCTTTTGGCTTTCAATTTCTACTTTATTCATAGTAGACATGCATGCTGCCAAAGGATTACAAAAGAATGGAAGGAAACAAATAGCTCCCTTTCCAATTACCCCAAATCCTGGTCACGATCACAACCTATTGCTTGATATTCTTAAAACAAACAAAAGCCTTTTATAGAGAAACCTTACTCAAGTATGACTTAGGGGAAAATCATTTTGGATATGTGTTTCATCCTTTCCAGAACTTTCCTGAAAACATGGATGAAATGTAGAATTTGATTTATTTCTGCAAAATTCCCTTTATGTTGTTTTTGCTTTTAAAAATTATTTCCTTATGTTTAATATGATTTTACATCTATAGCCTGTATCAGATTGCATTCTACCTTGGGGAAGGTGGAAGGGAGGGAGTGGGGAAAATTCAGAACTCAAAATCTTATAAAAGTGAATGTTGAAAACTAAAAATAAATAAAGAAAAAATATTTCTTTTTGTTTTTTTTTCAAAATTTTGATTTTGTTTCGATGTCAACATTTTATAACAGACTTCCAAGTCAGGAACTGTTTCAGTTATGTCTTTGTAGGCTTGGTAGTTTAGGAGGCACTTAATAAATGTTTTTTTTTAATTAAACTTAATTTCGACCTACCTTTCTGGCTATGATTTTGATGGTACTAATCACAAAATACTAAAATATAGCATATGCCCAAAAAACTGAGACACATATTCAAAAGAAGAATCCAATGTCAAACAATAATTTGCTGCCAAAATTACTTTGTCACTGCCTTAAAGCCTCAAATATAGGTTAAAGGAAAAATGAGCCCAAATATATGACTCTTGTTATTTTGATTACGTGTGAAAAACAACAGTAACAATATTCTATTACACCCATATCTGGTCATGATTACTTGGGAAAAAAAAAGTCTAACTTCACTGCTTAAGACAGTGGGAGAAAAGCAAAAACACTAAACAAAATGAAGAAATAAATGTTGAGGTTTATTTCCATTTTAATTTTAAAATGGGTGGGTCACAAATAACAGGATATGATGAAAACAGTTTTAGATATCTGTGTCCTTTTGATTTCCCCTCTTTGTAATGTGGAGAGATCAACAGTTTCTGATGCTGCTTGAAAATTTCTTAA